TCAGCATCATCATCAACAACAACAGCAACAACATAATCATCATCATCATCAGCATCATCATCATCACCATCATCATCATCAGCATCATCATCATCGCCAGCATCATCATCATCAACAGCATCATCATCAGTAACATTACCATCACCATCATCATCATCATCATCATCACCATCATCAGCATCATCATCGTCATCATCATCATCACCATCATCATCATCATCATCATCCACATCCTCATCCCCATCCTCATCCTCATCCGCATCCTCATCCTCCTCCTGCTGTTCCTCCTCCTCTCCCTCCTCCTTCTCCTCCTCCTCCTCCTCCTCCTCCTCCTCCTCCTCCTCCTCCTTCTCCTCCTCCTCCCCCCCCTCCTTGACCCCTCCCCCACCTCACCCTCCTCCTCCTCCTCCTCCTCCTCCTCCTCCGCCTCCTCCTCCTCTTCCCCCTCCTCATCAGCATTATCATTATCAGCATCATCATCATCACCATCATCAGCATCATCATCATCCCCACCAGCATAAGAATCAGCATCATCACAATCATCATCATCATTGACATTAGCATCATCGTCATCATCATCATTTTCCTCATCATCCTAATCAGCAGCAGCACCACCATCATCACCACCGTCATCATCATCATCATCATCATCATCATCATCATCTGCATCACACGCATCATCTGCATCATCATCATCGGCATCAACAGCATCAATATCATATTTCTCGTAATATCCACCCTCCTCATCCTCCTCCTTTTCCTCGTCTTGCTCCACTTGCCTCATCCCTCTTCCGCCTCCTGCTCCTCCTCCTGCTCCTTTTCCTTCTCCTCTTCTTCGCCCCCCCTCTCAGACGCCTGCCTGGAGATGGCCTCAACGCGCCGTCCAAGCCAGCCTCCCTCGCTGTTTGATTATGCGTGTCTCTTCCCCTCTCCCCGCGTCAGCTCTCATCGGCATCGTTTCTGGATGGGTTGGCGGGGATACTTTTTGGTATGCGGGCGCGCGAAGACGAGCCGAACGCCGTGCAAGCCAAAGCGGGCCGCGCCGAAGCAAAGGAACAAACAGCGAAGCGAGCGGCGCCCGGCTCAGAGCGGAAGTGGGCTCAACGCGGCCAAAATTGCGCGGGAGGCATCACCAAACAGCACGGAGGTCACGACAAACAATGCTGCGGTACCAGGTAACGCAGGGCGTGCCCACTGAGATGCCAATCAGGGACGCAGGTACGGCGTGGGAGAGCGACCACGCAAAAAGAGAAGTCGGCAAGTCGGGCTTCCAGGTCGCACTTGCCGAAAAAGGTGTCCTTGAAGGATCCGGCAGCCACGAGCTCCCAGCAACCATGCGGCAGCCAAACCAGCGAGAGAATACTGTCGTCCATTGACTGTCGAGAGTTTTCAGCCAGCTGTTTCCGTGCCCGTGGACCGTCAGAAGACCGCTTGGAAGAAGAGCCTGTTCAAGGGAAGGGGCCGAGAGGTCCCGGGTGGGAGGGGCACGTCTTGAAAAAGTCGGCGAGTCGGGCGTCTGGACTGGTCTCAGTGGGGCTGGAGGGGGAGCATGCATGCTGGACACCCCTCCCCCAACGAGGCCCGGAGCCGGATCTTTGACCATGTGCAGTCTACCTTTGGCCAGGGTAAGTGGCCGCGGTGCACGTGTACCTTGTTCAGCCCGCGGCCCCAGAGGTCTCGAGCGGGAACCTCATGTCTAACGTAAAGCGTCTTCCTTATACATATATAGATATGTGTGTGTATGTGTCCCCCCCCCCCCAAAAAAAAAAACGTTCTTGAATATCTCAATTATTCGAGGATGTCTCAGGCGAAACGGCCGTGTTGGGGGCGGCGCCCTCCTGGCCGAGCGCTGGGGCGGCGGCGACGGCGCGGCGAGCTCCGCGGGCGGGCGGCGGCGGCAGCGGCGAGGGCGGCGGCGAAGGCGGCGGCGGCGGCGGCGGCGAGGGCGGCGGCGGCATCCTGGTGCGGGTGCTGTTAGGAAGTGCCCCTGGCCCAAAGGTGCCCACAGGATCTGCAGAGGGACCTCCGCGGCCTCCAATGCACCCCTCACAGAGGCCCAGGGGGTCCCAGGGGCTCCAAGACGGAGCGAGAAGTGGGGGGCACCTTGGGCCAGGGGCACCTTCAGCAACCCCCGACTGGTGGGCAGAGGCGGGATCCCCACGGACCACCCCGGGACTCTTAGGGCCTGGCGGCGAATGTATGCTGGGTGGGAGAGGCGGGTGGGAAGCGCCTCTCGGGCCTCGGGCTGGGGGAAAAACACACCACAGGGCACCAGCCCCATCCCGCACCGAGCGATGCGTCGGGGGGGCACAGTTGTCCGCCTGGCAAAACGATGTATGTCATTGATAAGCTCGTGAATTCGAACATCCAGCTCGCACGGTGCCCTGTAGACTCGCGAGGCCCCGCCCACCCCCTCCCGCACATGCTCCACCATTAAGGTGTGATGACAGCTGGCTCGAACTGTCCAGATCCACTCTCTCAGAGTCTAGATAGTGGCCTGCTACGCCGCGATTCGACATTCAACTCTTCTGGAATCCACGCTTTTATACTGCAGCCTGGTACGGCTTCGGAAAAAGCGAGCAGACCGAACGAGAGGCCTCACAGCTCGCGAGTGCGAGCACGATCAGGGAAGAACGGAGATACACTGCCCCGACAGGCTTCCTCCACATTTGGATCCTCGTCGCTGAGTCCGATGACCACCCCGGACCCCTTCCCACCTCCACCCATCACATCACTACTGTGGGGGCATTGGATCAGGAGGCCTTCGATAAGGAATCCAGGGTCTGGAAGCCGGTGAAACTCCGAGCGCGGATCGGCCATGGATAACAGTGCCGTCCACCGCAGATAAGGAGTCCCCCAGGGTCTGAAGCCTCCTGGGGCCATTCCTTAACGAATGCCCCCACCCATCACATCGCTATGCAAGCGCAGCCTCGTTCTCCGCGTGGATGTCGGCACCAGCAGCAACCAGGAGGCGAACGACCTCGCGGCACCGTACACCACCATTCCCTTTTGTTTGTGCCACATAGTGAACGCCTGCCCCGTTCCGAAACATGATGGGCCTCCTTTCCACCACCACCACCAAAAGTTGGAGGGGGGAAAGGAGGAGGAGGAGGAGAAGGAGGAGGAGGACGAGGAGGAGGAGGAGGAGGAGGAGGACGAAGAGGAGGAGGTGGAGGTGGCGGCGGAGGAGGAGGAGGAGGTGGAGGAGGTGGAGGAGGAGGACCCCCTCCCCCTCCAACTCATGGTGGTGGTGGTGGTGGAAGACAGGCCACCTTCCAGCACAGCCCTGGCAGGATCGCGCTCTGTCCGTGCTCCGATCCTGCTCCGCCGCCCGCGGTCCGCTTCCCCTGCGTTAGGAGGCAACTACTGGAAGGGCTTCGTCGGAAAAACTAAGCCCCCTCTGGGGGGCTGTTATGCCGGAGTGGGCCTCGGAGTAAGCCGGATTAAGCGGGAGTAATCGGGATTGAGCCGGATGAAGCGGGATTAAGCCGTATGAACCCGGATTAAGACGGATTTCGGACCAGGGCAAAAACAGAATTTGACCTCCCAGGAGTTGCATCCGAACCTGCGCCCCCATAGTCCAAAAGCGACGCGCAAGCGTCGTCGTCGGAACGTCGCAAGACTCGACACCCCGTGAGCCTCAAGCCAGGTGATAATCGAAGGCGCAAGAGCGAGTCCGAAACCAGGGCCAACGAAGGATGAGCAGAGGAACGATGGATACATGGACGGATGGGTGAGTTGGAGAGGGGACACCCTTTGGAGCGAAACACAGAAACGAGAAGGATACACGGGGCAGAAGGGAGAAGGGAAAGACTGTATGACATCCCACCAACCCTTTGGGCTAAGCCCCCTCCCCTCCCCTCCCTAAGGTTTCTGGGGCGTACCGCGATCGGTTAGAGCGTCCAAGATGGCCCAAAATGTGCCGATGTGCCGAGATGGCCTCAAAGGCGGTCTAAGATAGCCGAAGATTGTTCAAGATAGCGTCAGACGTGCACCCGAGAGGCCCGACGATCAAATCTCAGAAAATCTATGCCGTGTGACTTCTCGCCATTTCACTTCCGTTGCGCTTCTCTGAGGCCTCAAGATGGCCCAAAGATGACCAAAGAGAGCCCCCAGAGGGTTCACGAGGCCGCCAATACGGCCCTAAGAGCGACCAAGAGCGCCCCAAGAGCGCCCAAAGAGGGCCCCGAGAGGCGATCCCGATGGTTTTTGGATGGGGGTGCTAGGTAAAGCCCTCCCCCTCTTTGAGCGACGGCCTCCACGATGGCCCCAAGGCCCTCGAGGGCTTCCAAGGGACCCCCAATAGGGCCTCACGAGGGAATAAAGAGGGCCCTAAGAGGGCCCCCAGGCACCCAAGAACGCCCCAAGAGCGTCCCACGACGATCCCAAGAGGCGATGCGGTTCTTCCTCCTCCTCTTCCTCCTCCTCCTCCTTCTCCGCCTCCCCTTCCTCACACTCTGGTTCTTCCTCCGCATCCTCCTCCTTTTCCTCGTCCTCCTCCTCCTCCTCCTCATCATTCTCCCCCCCTATCCCCCCACCCCCCCACCCACCCCCCGCCCGCGGGCCCCAGGGATGGCCCGAGGGCACCCTCCAAGGCCAGTACCTTACTCCCAGAGCTCTCTCTCCCTCTCCCTCTCTCTCTGTGTCTCTCTGTTCATCATGATTGCCCGCGCTCGTTCACTGTATGTGTCCTGTCGTGCACCCTTTTCCCCGTCAACCCGCATGGGCAGGGTCTCTGGGCGGGCTGCTGGGGAGACCCAAAGCGTGAAGAAATTCGAAATGGTGGTGCATCAAACAGATTGCCAAGTTGTGCTTGTCCCCAGGGTACCCCATGTGTGAGTTTAGTGTGCGCACATGCCTGTACACATACCCTTCATGCGCTAGGCGCTAGGCGTCCACATGCACGTGTACAAATGCACGTATATAAGATGGCGCGGCCTACGTGTCACCGACGCTGCGCGTACGCGCGAAAGCGCACCAACCATGTAAATGTACAGAGT